TTAACCATCAGATAGAGATTGGTTTCTTCTTCTTCTTCTGTAGACTCTTCATCACTGTCACCCCAGATTGAAGAGAGTAAGCTTTAAACTTCTTCTTGTCATACTTGTAGCGTTTGCTCTCTTTTTTTAGAGGACAGTCAGCCTTAATATGTTTAGGCTTTTTGCATTTATAGCAGATTATCTCTTTTTCTTTCTACTTTAACAATTTATTTCCAAACTTCTTTTTCCTAAAGAATTTGCCAAATTTCTTAACAAACATAGCCATTTCTTCATCAAAGTCTTCACTATCACTGGTTTCAGAATCAAATTCTTCCTTTATCACTTTTAAAGCCAGTGACTTTTTCTTATCAACATCTTCTTTTAGCATGGATAGTCTTCCTTCATGCTTGGCAAGACTTCCAAACAATGCTGCCACATATCTTATGGAGTCACTATTTGCTTCTTTAATGGTAGTAATTTTAGGTTGTCATTTAGCCGGGAGACCTCTCATGATATTTCTAACTTTCTCCTTTTTAAGTATAGGTCTTTCCAAGTACTGTAAGCTCATTTATCATGTGTGTGTATTTGACTTGCATATCTTTAATACTTTCTCTAGGCTTTATTTTGAACAACTCATATTGCTGAGTTAATGTACTCATTTTGTTCTCCTTGACTCCTTCAGCACCTTCATGAAAAATCTCTAGAGCATCCCATATTTCCTTTGCAGTTTCTAAATTACTCACGTGGAAGTACTTTTGTTGACTCAAGGCACTTGCAATAATCAATTTGGCCTTAGAGTTGAGCAGCACAAGTTTTTCTTCCTTTTCTATGAATCCACTCCTTTCTTTTCTTATAAATTATCCCTTCTACAGTTTTATATGGAATGTAAGGACCATTTTTGACAGTCTCCCATAAGTCAAGGTTTGAGGCATCAAAGAATAATCTCATCTTACTTTCTAGAAAGTATAGTTTTCACCATTGAATCTTAGAGGCCTATTAATCTCAACACCTTTAGGGAGAACACTATCACCAAAACCAGCCATAAGATCCTCTTAGACTATTAAGTCTTTAATTAAGAGTCTAAACTCTGATAACAAATGTTAGGATAGGCTAGCACCCAAGAGCGAGGTGAATTGGGTGCCACTTAGAAACTTTTGAAAACTTGAAAAAGTGAAGGAAGGAAATGAGATACTCAAGATTTATACTGGTTCAGCCTCAAACTTGGCCTATGTCCAGTCCTTAAGATCACACTTGATATTTTCAACTAAGTTCTCAAGCTTTAATAGGTGCTTGTCACCACAGTACAACTCTCAAGACTTAACTTGTCATGAATTGCTCAATAAACATTGCTACAATCCAGCAAGTTGTTACAAACACTTGAAAAATACCTTTTCAAGATTTTTGAAGAAAGAAATAAGTTTTTGTAGAAAACTCTCTTAAAGAGTAGATGGAATTATAATTGAAAGCTTATAAACTTATGAGAGCTTTTCACAATTCTTTTCAAGAATAATGAATGAATGCAAGATGTAAAAGCACAATTTGAAAGCTTTTCCAATGCTCAAACAATGATTAGTTCACTCAAGGATCATTAGGTCTAGTTTTGGCTCAAAATGAATTACATAAATAGTTTTAGTAGTTGATAGACCGTTGGAATAGTGATTCTATCTGTTGGAGCAATTTCTTGTGAGTGACTGGTAAAATCACGCATGAAATTGCACTGGGATTGTTCCAAAAATGTATATGTGATAAATCACACGTGAACTCCTTGACCTCTCACGTATGGTTTTGCACTTCTGAATAAGTATCCAGTTCTATGTGCTAAAATTTATGTGGTACCTCATTGCTCTCATGCGTAGTTTTGCACTTATAAATAAGCATTCAGTTCTATGTACTAAAACTCAAGTGGTACCTCTTTGCTCTCTCACATGGTTTTGCACTTATGAATAATCATTTAGTTTTGAGTGCTAAAACTCACATGGTGCCTCTTTGCTCTCTCACATTATTTTGCACTTATAAATAAGCTTACATATTAAAGTGCTAAATCGAGCGAGTGAACCATTAGCTCATAAGAAACTATCATTAGTTCTGTGTGACAAATCATGCGTGAAAACTCTTTGCTCTCACACGTGAAATGGCTGGCAAAATGCCAAAGCCAATTTATGTAATCAAAACTTATGAGGGACTAAAAGGCTATCATGCGTGAAATAGCAAGCAATAATGTATAAACTTGTCTAGCTGCATTTTCACACATAAAACTGCACATAACTCAAGCAAGATTTTGCATGATCAAGAGATATAGATTTTTGAATCAATGATCATGCATGTGAATAATTTTAACTTGGCTTGAGATGACTTAAGACTCAACAAAGCAAAATGTGATTGTGTAACAAGTGACAAATCACATGTGGCTAGCATCAGACTCATGCGTGAAACAACACTTTGACACAATATAATGAAACATAGTTTCTAAAACTTGCGTGGACAACAATGGCTCTCACATGTGATTTTACATATAGAAACAAAGCTTAAGGCATCACATAACACAAGTGATAAATCACACATGAATCATTTCCTGACTCTTATGTGATCTAGCAGTCATTGTGCCTAACCTATAGAATCTCATGAGTGACCTACAGAATCACACGTGATTCTGCTTCTCACATTGTAAACAGCTTCTCTAAATTTCAACACGCAAGAAAGACATTGTTTGCAAGCTTTAATACACTTAGATGAGTCTTAATGCATATAAATGAGACATATGATTCATTCATTTATTAATTATGAAAAGTGATTAAGCTCTCAAAGTTTTCACATTGAATCTTAAGAGAATTTAAATAACTTATCCTAAAACTTCTTCATCTTCTCATGATTCTTCATGCTCTTGAAGTTTTATCTTCATCCATGATTCTTTATATCTACACACATAACAAATACTTCTTCTTTTGGTTTTGTAATCATCAAAACATATGATCTAACGCATTGTTCTATTACTTTACCCACTGGAGAAGCTCAAACAAACTCAGATATCTAAGAAAACATGAAGATGAAACATAAGCAATCACTAATGAGAAGTTTCATGAGTCTAACGGATTATGACACTCAACTATAATACAATCATTTTTGAAACTTAAAGATAGAGAACGAAAGAGAGCCAATAAGAACAAATCTCTATCATTATTTGTGTATTCAATTTTTACCAACCTTTTGTAAAAGATTTATTATTTAAGCATCTTATTGGTTACATATCTACTCTTAGAGAGAGTTTATAATAGTAGTAGTTCATTCTTGAACTTACTCTATTTATCCCAGTTATAATTCTTTAAAATAGAGGAACTTAAGCATAAGGAGCTTAAGGGGATTTGTCATTGCCTTTGTAAGAGGAGAGATTCAGACTTATTAAGAAGTCTATTAATATATTGAGGCAATCAAGAGCCCGGACTAATCTTGGTAATATAGTTGAAAATCTCAAAGAGTTCTTAAGAATTGGACGTAGACTCAAGTAGTAGGAGTTGAACTAGGATAAATTATCTATGTCAAGCTCATCTTTCCTATCTCTTGTGATTGGTGATTTCATTCCTACTTTACTTTTGTTATTTCTGCATAGTTTGTTTAAATTTTTAATTAGCCTAATTCACCCCCTTTTAGAGTCATTTACAATAATCAAGCTAAGTTATACATAAATACTTACTTACATATAAATATTTAAATGGCAATGGGACGTTAAAGTTGTGCAGATGTGGCGAGATGCAAATGACAATGCAAACTACTTAACATATTATGTATTTGATACTTGGCTTGATATACACATGGTGTCTACTTTGTTTGCTGAGCGTTAATGACTTTTTAACAAGGATGCCTTGTGATTCTACCAAGTATTTGTGTTTCCATTATTATGAAAAAAGAAGTCACCAATAATATTCTTATAACATATTATCACTGAGAAGAATATAAAAAATTATTCAAATCCACCTTGTTATGAGGTAGAGATTAATTATAGAGGTTAGCTAGCTCATCACATTTAATTTAGGAGAAGATACAAACTTAATAATTTATTTATTAATTTTTGAGAAAAATATGGAGAAGATAAAAGTTAAAGATATTTAACATAAATTAATATAATCCATATTTATAAAAAAATTTGAAATTAATTATTTCATTTTAAAACTAAAAAAAAAAATTGGTTAAAATGTTTATAAGAAAATTATTAATATTTAATATTTTTTATTTTAAGTTCATTTCCCTAACAAAAATAATATTTGCTAGTAAGAAAGTAATATCTTATTAAGTAAATAATATATACATATATAGTCATATAAATTATTTTACGATATTAATAAATGAAAATAAACAATAATATCTATATAACTTTTTAATAATACATTATTTGATATATGTATATGTAGTTTAATAACATATATTTAATTTCGCATGTAATAATTTCATATGCATTGCAATTCAACGGGTAAAGAATGGGGATTTAAGGCATGGGAGGTGGAAGTTAAGGGTTTAAATATTGACTTTGGCATATTTTGTAATGAATATATGACGTGGTGCTTATGACGACATCGCATGACGTGGCAGAAGATGTGGCAATGTGATACGTGACGTGGCATAAGGAGCCACCCATGTGGCGAGGGTGATATGGAGTGGGTGTTGTTGACGAGGCATGAGGAGCCCCACATGTGGTGGGGTGGCATAGCATTATGTGTCAGGTGACGTGACACGAAATGGCCCTTTTATTTTTTTTTTGTTTGCAAAAAAAAATTAATGGTGACAAATAAAAGTAATCTTTTAGTGGTGATAGTTTGTTGTCACAAAAAACTATTAGCGACAAGAGTTTTGGTGGTAATTTTTTGGTTGTGAAAATTCATCGTAAAATACATTTAGTAGAGACAAAAGTCATTTTTTTAGTGGCTTTACTTATTCTAGCATGCTAGCACGTATCAACTATGTAGATTAGATCAAACAATATAAGCATATTTGGAGATTAAAAACCAAAATACTGTAAGTAACATAGGAACTAAAAGTTTTTTACAACTTGTACTCTAACCATATCCCCTGACTATGGGGCTTGAAGGGCGAAGGCTTTGAAATATCTCAGCTAAATACATAGAATCATCAATCAAATAAATGACTAAGTACATGATGACTATGTTATATGGCAGTAGTAGCATTCCCGACTTCTAAGACCATACCCCTCAAGAGTTTTGGTGTCATTGCGTAAGTTCCTTTCTCAAAGCTCTACTATTGTTCCCTGAAAAATATAAGGGACTGAGAAAATTAAAATGTCTTAGTAACTACTAGCTACAGAGTATCCATGGCTAATCAATAACCCAGTTTGGTAAGTTTATGCAAACAGCCTCCATAAGGCAAGATAAACAGTTTATTTCTTTATCAACAAGGTTATATTTAGTTTGCCAAGCAAGCCACATTAGCGGTAAATCAGAGCCATACTAAGATAGATAAGAAGATATCAACTTATATAGTCTATAATAAGCAAGTGATCATAACAACATGCAAGTGATCAACCACCATATTCTCTTCCTAATTCCTCTAACTGAGATGCTAGGCAATCGAAGATGGTACCTAGCCAAAGGCTCTAATGCTCCTTTTCAGACCCCAATCTCCCCCTTTTTAACCACAAGGAGAGCCATCTTTGATATATGGGTAGGGAATCTTTCTTCAAATGTAGTCAAACGAAAACTAGTGAAATGCAAAGAGAAACTCAACTTTTTTTTAACGGTGAAAAGGCTTAACAATCCACAATATTTTGCATTGGCATAAGTATTCATATACACATGCGGCTAAACTTTCATGCCTAGGAAATTGTCAATATCTAATAATTTTATTTACTTACTAAAACTTCAAGACAATAATCTAACGTGGATATAGTTCAGTAATTGAGGCCTCATTTATTGAACCTTGAATAGTGTTACTTCTTGGTTCACTTGATCTTGTTGCCTCTGAGTTGTACTCACTAAAAGTGGAGGTCTTGAAGGTAAAGGGAGAGACGAAGAGAAGCTATTCAACATAAGTACAACTGAAGCCATGGTTGGCCTGTCAGCCACATTTTCTTGAACACATAATAATCCAATATAGATGCATCTCATTACTTCATTTCTCGAACCATCGTTTAATACAAGATCTACTATATTCATGACTGTCCCTTCCCTCCAATTTTTCCATGCCTGCAAGTTGTTCCTCAATAATGTAGAATGATGTTAGTCCTAACTTACTTATATTCAAATACATGTTAGCTAGTCATCATATATAAGAGCATAATCTTACATTACATACTTTTGAAAGATGACAAGTGCGTGTGTGCGTGTTGAAAGATGACAAATGTGTGTGAGTGAGTGTTAGCTAGTCATCTTAAAGATGACAAGTGCAAGCATGCGTGTGCATGAGAAAAGGACTTACAAAGCTTAAAACATCATGTGCATTCTCTTCATCAAAGATGCTGCTGTTCTTTCTGCTACTTATAAGCTCTAAAACCAATATGCCAAAACTGAAAACATCTGATTTGACAGAGTATTGTCCATGCATTGTATATTCTGGTGCCATATATCCACTAAATGTCAAGAAAAATATATAAGCTTAATTAGACATTAATTTTGACATTGTCAAGATGAACAAAGTTAAATAGACATTAATTTACTCAATGACTTATAATTGTCATTGATTGTAAGGTTTATGATACTTACTAAGTTCCAACTATTCTACTTGTATTACTTTGAGTTTGGTCTATAACAAATAGCTTTGCCATGCCAAAATCTGATATTTTGGGATTCAACTCTTCATCTAAAAGAATATTACTTAGTTTGAGATCTCGATGAATAACACGTAGTCTTGAATCTTCATGAAGATAAAGAAGACCATGAGCAATGCCTCCTATAATCTTGTAGCGTATCACCCAATTCAATTGAGCACGTTCACTTGAATCTGCAATATTTTCCTACCCATTTAAAACTTTATCTTTTAAAAATTACATCTAATATAGGCTTTTTGATTTTCATCAAATATAAATGAAGCAATAGAAGTACCATCCAAATTGAGCTAAAGCCTTAATAACTTACCAAACAATAAGTAATCAAGACTTTTATTGGGAAGAAATTCATAAACGAGAAGCCTTTCATTTGTTTCTAAAGAAAAACCAAGTAATCTCACTAAATTACGATGTTGGAGTTTAGCCACTAAGAGCACTTCATTCTTAAATTCTGCATCTCCTTGCATAGAATTCATTGACAACCTTTTGACAGCAATGTCTTGTCCATTGGGAAGCCTACCCTGCATTTGTTAAACTTGGGAATGTAATTGTTATTAAATTTGACAATGTTTTGACAGTATTATCATAGTTATCCCAACAATATCATAATTATACCTTGTACACTGATCCAAATCCTCCTTGTCCAAGTTTATTGACAACAGAGAAGTTATCTGTAGCGAGTCTGATGGTGTTAAAATTGAATTGCATTGACTCGATTGGTTTAATTTCATCATCATTTGCTTCAGGTTGGTCAACTGAGAAAAAAATTCAAACAAAAGATTACTTCTTCAAATTAGATGAAATATATCTATAAATATTGATTCTCTACTTTTATTTTGCCAAAAAAAAATTAATATAAAGTATAATAATTAAACTTGTTGAAAAAAATCTAACGCGTTTAACCTTTTTTTTTCACTCCACCATACTGAGATTTTCTTTGTCATTCATCACGTACCCTTATCACTTTCAATTCATTATGTGTCATATTTGGGTCCAAATAACAATTTTTGAAACAAAAAGTACTAAATTAAAGATTTATGTGTAAAGAAGTAATTAAAGTTTTAAAATGTTTTGTTTAAATCATTGCCAAATAACATATAGTTTAAATATTTAATTCAAATAGAATTATATTCCATTATTGGCTTTTATATATAGTATTTATGAATTGTGAAAATTACAGTTTCGTGTAGTAGGTGTGTGTTTGTAAAGTAATGCAGCCTTAATTTTTATTTCTTATTATGATATTCAAATTAACAATGTTCTTTTTTCACATAAAATAAACAATTTTCAATGAACATGTGAATAATTTTCCATGCATGAAAACATTATTTCGACTTACTTTCAACTGTTCTCTTTGATTCCCGAACAGCAAAATAGATGCATATCAAAATAAGAAGTGCGATAAAAACACCAAGTGGCACAACTACGATTGTGACAGTTCTTGATGTGTTGCTATTTCCTACAAAAGGAAAACAGGATCAGAAGTTGATTAATTAACCTATTCTCATTGATACAGCACACAACAATAAAATAAAGAGTTAAAACCCATTTTTGGCCTAAACTATACTTAGGGGACATTTAGTGTCCTAAGCTTAGCTGTGGTCCATTAATTCTTCCTCTGAGAAAAACAGAGGGTTTGAAAGAGGGACAGAGAGGAATTAAGGAGAGCTCTACTACGGTTTATCCTTAGCAACATTTGGAGGCTATTTTGGGCTTCTCAATCATTGGGTAAGCTTCTATTTCTCATTTTCTCCCTCTTCTATGCGTTTTCTGTGAGATTTTAGGTGTTGGGTATTTAAGTTTAAAGCTAGAATTGAGTCCCACCCTTTCATCTGACTTTAATGGAGTTATGGGATGCTCAATCATGTTTCTAACTATTGGGTTAGGCTGATGAGGGTGTTTAGTAAAGTTAATAAAGGGTTTGATGTTAACCCTAGAGCTTAGTGGCCAAGTTAACAATAATAGGGGTAATATAATAGTGTTATTTAGACTAAAAAGAGGTTAAATGAGCTAATAAAACCTAAAATGGTTATGGTTATACCATAACTGGAGTCTTGGGTTTAAACTTTGATTTAAGCTTATTAATGATTATTAACTATTAATGGTATTTGATGGTACTAATTGTAAATTAATTAATCTTGGATCTTGCATGTTTGTTTGGAGGCTCTATTGGCTTTTCAAGTGTACTTTTGGTTTGGTAAACTAAGGGTTGAGGTAATCAAAAGTTGAATTCTTGTGTATGTTTGTTATTTGTGATTATGATTTATGTATGATTGTTATATTATATGATAATGTGTGAGGTTATTCTAGAAATTTGATGAAGTGGGTTTTTGAAGTATACCTTAATTTGGAAATGATTAAATGGATTTGCAATGTCTCAAGCATGTTGATATGTTATAGTTTGTTGAACATGAGCTTTGCATTACAATATTCCATATGAACATGAATTATATATTACATGATCATGGATGAATGGGAGTTCACCTAAGAGTGTTGAGATTGTGAAGTCTGTAACATCTTGAATTTTTAAATTCAGGATCAAATGAGTTAACTGATCGGGTGTTCAAAAAATAGAAGAAAAGAAAGAAGAACGAGGGAGCTTCATTTGGGCTTTGTAAGGGCTTCATCCAGGTGCGACTTGTGAGGATTTGGAGATCTAAATCACTTAGATTAGCTTTCCCTATCATTCCTATCCACTTTACTTCATTTTTTAGTTGGGGTTTATAGAAGAGATGATGATTTTTAGACCTTCAGGCTTCAAGTACAAACCTATTTTTCTAAATGGGACTGATGGGAGTTGTGTAAGCTTCCTACTCCTAGTTTTGAAGTTTCTATAAAATTATGAGTTTGGATTTTGGGTTTGGGACAAACCCTAAGTACTTTAATGATGAATTTGGCTAGTTGGGAGTCACAAATGGTGATATTAAAGTTAATGGGAGTTAATACACCTATTAGTTGTAAGAAATTAAAAGAGATTGTGTATTTAGGTTGATTTATTATGAAATTAGAGAGTTAGAAATGTGTTAATGGAGGTAACATTGATGGTTATTATTGTAAATTGTAGATTAACTACATTGCACACCATTTGATAACCTTTGGTATCTCAAAGGTTTGGGGTAGTTGGGGAAATTTAATTCGAGTATCATTGCTTGCTTGATTATGGGATATTGTAAACATGTTTTTCATAATTGAATCAATATGTTTTATGTTTTAGAGATTTAAAAATGCAAGTGTGGCCTTTTGAAATAATTGAGAAAATGATTGAAGGTGCTAATATTTATTGAAATGAGTTGTATGGGAATGAGAAAATTTTATGTAATATTGAATATGACTTGTATTTTGGAAAACATAAAATGAGTAAGAAGGGGTGATGGAAGTGATCATTAGTTATTGAAAATGATGATTTTGAATATGATGAGATTGAAGGTGATTTTTCGATAATGATCATAAATTTGGTTGAAAAATGAGATATGCTGTGTGTGTTAAAAATGATCGATTGAGAAATGGGATATGCTATGTATTAAGCATTACTACTGAAAAATTAATAATATAAGAAGCCTCATATGGGATAATTATATGCACAACCATCCTATATGAGGAGATGAAAGTAAAGGTATAATAATTTGAGAAGAGAAATGGGGTGGTTACACAAGGAACGTTCTATATGTTATTATATATTGTTAAAACAAATATTAGATTTTCAAATTCCTAAAACACATATAGAATAGTTCCATGAAAGAACCATCTTGCATGTGTTGTTATATAGCAATGATTTTAAAACTGGACTGGACGGTCGGACCGGTTCGACCATCGACCCGTCCACATTTCAGCTCGGCTAGAAGGGAAAAACTGTGTGAGACATTGAGTCAGGTTAAGCCGGCCAAAATCGTCAGTTAGGCCACGAACTGAAGTTGAGCCAGGAATCGAGTTCGGTTTTTAAAAGCCAGACGGTTCTTTTTTTTTCACCCCATATATTTTAGAATTGAGATTTTAACCCTAAAAGAAAAAGCAAACCACAGACGCAGAGGCACACACTCAGCTCTCAGCTCGCAGGGCTGTTCACGGTTTAGATCTCTCATCTCTTGAGCTATGAAGTCACAGTTCAGCACCGCGTTTCTGGCTTCCTGTTCAGACTTTCAGTGTTTTACTTTCACCTTTCACAGTTTCAGATCTCTACCTTGTCTCTTTGAGCTGTGAAGTCACGGTTAGGTGCATCTGGTCTGGATTCCTGTTTCAAAGTTTCAGTGTTTCATGATTTCAGATTCTACCTTGTCTCTTTGAGCTGTGATTCTCCGATTCCATTTCCAAGCATCACATTTTTTCTTTGAGCTTCGATTTCAAGCTTCCCACTTTGACTTTGCTAATTCGCTGCTCTTCTCCTCCCATTCTCTGTGACTTTGGCAGTGCGGTGGTGGCTTTCTATTTTTAGCATTCTACTTTATCTTTTTCACTTTGAGCTTTAATTTCTAGCTCTTCTACCGCTATGACTACAATAATTTTTTTTTGCCAGAACTATGACTTCACTGATTTCCTTCATCTGTGACTTTGGCAGTATGGGGCACGATTTCATTCATCTTCCTTTATCGATTGGCATCAACAAGAGCAACCACAGCCTACGACTGATCTTTTCCTCCTTTTCCTCATCCTCACCGAGCTATCCTCTTCCTAGTCTGGCTCTGCTGCATCGTCTAACGGTCTAAGTAAGTTTTAATTTTTATGTATTTCAAATTTTCAATTCCTTAGAAGTTCAAATTCCTTATCTATTGAAGATCTAATTTGATTAAATGCTATATATGCCTGCATATAATGATTGTGTAATGGATTTTAAGCTACCTACAAGCATTCATTAACAATGTATCAATTAATTGATACTTGATAGCCAATTCGAGACTGACCACTGGAATGGAATGCTTGATCTGATTTGTTTACTCTTCTTTGTTTATACTTTATATATTGATTAGGTCTCTTAATAACAAATCTAAATTTTTCCTTGTAGAAAATGACATCTGAAAATGCTTCAACTACTATATCAACACAATCTGTTAGATCAAAGACAGATCCTATATGGGAGCATTGTGCTAAGATCAAGCTCCCAAATAGTAAAGTTCACCTAAAATGTTTGTATTGTGCAAAAGAATTTGCTGGTGGAGGGATTCATAGAATGAAACAACATCTTGCTGGAAAGAAAGGGGATGTAATAAGTTGCAAAAAGGTGCCTACTGATGTTCACTACTGACTCGAAGAAAATTTAAAGGAGATTAGGGAGAATAAAGGCAAGAAGCAAGATAGTTATAAAGAGGACAATCCATATGGCCCTAATGTCACACCATTAAAAAGTCATGATGGAAATTCAGAAGAAATTTCTACTCCTTAATCTCAAACCCTCAAGGAAATTCAACCACAAAGTCAAACTCAACTTGGAAAAAGAAAGGCTCCTATTGATAAATATTTTGCACCAAGAACAACCCCAGGAGCATAGCCAGGGATACGAAGTGTGCTTATAGGTAAAGAACCTGTACGTAGAGTAGACATGGCTTTTGCTAAGTGGATGTATGATTGTTGTATCCCATTGAATGTTGTTAATTTAGCATTCTTTCAACCTATGATTGATGCGTTTACAGCTATTGGCCCTGGTTATAAAGGGCCAAGTTATCATGCCATGAGAACTAAATTACTGCTTGATACTAAAAAGGAAGTTCAGTTAATGGTTGATAGTTTTAGAAACTTTTGGGATGATACTGGTTGTACAATCATGGCCAATTGTTTGCAAGATCAAGCAAATAGGCAATTGATTAACTTTTTGTCTATTCTCCTAGGGGAATTGTTTTTATTAAATCTGTTGATTCATCAGACATAGTTAAGGATGCCTAAAATTTGTACAACTTGTTTACTGAAATGGTTGACTTTGTTGGAGTTACAAATGTTATGCACTTGATAACTAATAATGCAACTATTATAAAGCTGCTGGGCGGTTGGTTATTATGTGACAAATTTCCTTCTATTTTTTGGTCTCCTTGTGCTACACATTGTTTGAACTTGATGTTAGGAGATATCGGTAAAATGGATGTTGTGACTGGCTTAGCAACATGTTCATCTGTGGTGACAAAGTTTGTTTATAATCATGCCTTTTGCTTGCTTGGCTGAGAAAAAGAGAAGGTTGGACTGAAATTATTTGCCCTGGGGTAACACGATTTGCTACCATTTTATTGCATTGAAAAGTATTCATGAGCATAAACATGATTTGCAAGCCTTAGTAACTAGCAAAATATTTTTAGATTCTAGATACTCAAAAGGAGAAAAGGCAAAGATGTGACTTTAATAGTGCTGGACAATCAATTTTGGAATGATTGTAAAATTATGGTCCAAATTGTTTTACCACTTATTCGGTTGTTGAGGATTGTTGATGCTGATGAGAGGCCTTCACTTGGGTATGTATATGATGGCATGTATAATGCAAGA